TCTTGGTGTTGGCCAGTGCTCAACTTTATCAAGGTAGCCTGGGCTATGTTAAATTTCAAACTTCAAACTCAATATATCTTGAATTTATGAACTTTTGGGATGATTTGTGACGTTTTGTCTTTTGCGAATAGCAGAATAAAATGGAAATGAATTCATAATCTCCTTTCTGGAGTTTCAGTGCTTCTTCTGTTTTCTTGTATTGAAGACAGTTACAAACCCTACCCATCTTTGTTTGTTGAAATAATATGCAGTCAGCTTATAAATTTGCCCGCACCCTTTCTGCAACTTAACCCTAACCCTCCTCAATCCTGTTGGAGCATTGAGGAGGGTTAGGGTAAAGGTAGCAGAGGATGCATAGGATACAATGGTGATAAGCAAATTTAAAAGAAAACATGCATTTTTGTTACCAAGTATTTCCCAATACATGTATGTGGTGTCTGCTCTTCACACACAGTTGCCTAAAAATTTGTGTTTTTTCTTCCTTTTGTGTGGGGGAAAATGTTTTTTATTCTTGAAGGGTGAAAATGGTATTTGGTATTACTGGAATCCAGGGAAAATTCTACTCCTTTTGAGATTAACCACTTCATGCCAGGGCATTTTTCAATGTTGATGATGCTGGGCCGGCATAATTATCATTTTTTCCATTTTCAAAACTCGTCAAAAATTCATCATTTCATTTAACGGACGTTTATAGCCACACTAAGTAATCTTTAAGCAATACTCTAAGTTGACAGGTGACCTTCATTGACACCCGAGTATTTCAGCCAGGCCAGCAGCCTTGTAAACAGAGCCCAGATTGTGTGGTGTTGTATAAATGTCTTTTGTTCACGAACCTCTTTTCAATAAGGGTCAGATTAGAGTGCAGCGGTGCTGTGTGGCTCATCGCTGTGGTGGAGGAGCGCTTTTGTCACCAGTGGTAATCCGCTCACTATAAATGACCCAAACCCTGGTACATGTATACGGTTTCAAAACAAGGGTGGATTATCACCACTTTTGAGAGTCAAAAATGTTGCTGATGCTCAGCAGTCCCAGTTCAGAGACCCCGGCCACGCATATAAAGCATACGTCTTCGATTCCGGAGACCCCGGCAGGAAGTGGTTAAAATGAAGCAGATTTTAGATTGTTTTAGAATATAGGGACTTTACCACATAAACCCTTTCATTTTACCATTCTACATAATGAGAAAACAACAGATTTCATCATTTTTTCAAATCTTGACATACATGTACAACCTTGTACATACAAGGAAAAAAGCCTCAAACGAATAAAAAAATACCAAGATCAATTTCAACCCAAATTTACACTGCATCATTGCAGCATGGGTATTGGATCTGGAGCCCTGAAAAGAGCAAAAAATAATGTTCTAGGTGCAGTTCTCACAAGTAAAAGGTCAAACTATAGTGGATCACAAAGATACCACATCCACATGTAGTGCAGCGGCTAAGTCCAACATATGGAGCCAATCGTTCACTTCGTCATAAAAGCACCAAATTTGGCACAGATATAGAATAACATATATTAAACATTTTTAGATATTGAGGCATTTGAAATTTAATTAGGGAGGGCGTGGCAGCCATTTAAATCACCGATGGTTGCATCTGATATGATACAGTAAATTTGGCACAGGACGCTCTTTTTGTGCTGAGAATGTCATTTATCTCCCCATTTGAAGAAATAACGCTTACAGACACATACCTTGACTGTTTATTTTCTCCCCAAGTACCTAAATTACCAAACAACAGCCAATTCTTATCCAAAATGGCCACCAATCTTCAATACATCTGTTCATTTATATTGACTTTATTAAAACACCCATTTTGCACCAAGAATTTCAAGATTCTAGCATTTTAAAAAAAAAAGTGTTACTTAACTTAAATAATATCCCAGACTGTTCATTTTCTCATGTTCAAGAGAAAAGGCTACAGTGTAATGGGTGTATACATGTATATACAATGTATATAACCATAATATCTGTACATATTGGCTTCATAAGACCAGACACTGAGTGGCCTACACATTGTTCTAATAAATAGTGGTGTGAGAAACAGCTTGTAGATCCATAAGCAGCAACAGGAAATGGCACACACACATGCACAAAGGTATGCATATGTGTGTGCCACTTAGTTGCACAGCGAATTCCATAACAGTCTGTGGCTTACATGTACATGCTGGTGTCAGCACATATGCACGTGTTTTGCAGCCAGTCCAATGGTCGATTTCGCTTCGGAACAGGATATTTCAAGCACCTATATTCCAACAACTGCATCGATACGGCAGATTTAGGTGTAATTTAAATTAAGGCATATGTATTTTTTGGAAACAGGGCGGGGATTAAATCAGGCAAGGGGAGGTGAAATAAAGGGGGGCTTAGTGAAGGTACACAAATGGTTTGCCTGAAGGAATGATTGAAACGTGATGCTTTCTTATGTATTATGAGGTAATCTGAGAATGAAACATTGAATTTATCATTTTTATGCCAATTAACTGGTTCCATAACATTTAAAGCAGCTGAGCAGAATTGAGTGTGTGACACCCAAATCTCCATGTTCTGCTACCGGTCCTTTAAATATATTTGCATATCTAAACTGTCCGACACAATCAAAACAAAAAGACAGTGGAAAAGGATACAGAACTCTGGCAGCAAACTTGATAAAGTTTAATGAACTGGGGAAGCTACCAAGAACAATACAGCTAGACAGAATAGACGAAGGAGAAATAGTGTTTGCCACTTATTCGGCACTGACCAAGTGGTCTGTCCCCCAACAAAGCACAGATGTGTGTTCACAACTGCAGTGGTAGACAACATTGACCACAATCCAAGTGCCACCACAGCCAAAGCTTCGTTTCATGGAACAGGGATTTCATTGCTCCAGCATCCTTCTGCTGTATGTTCTATTATGATTTCCAAACGGCCTAAACCGAATATAAACTGCATCTCTTTATTCTATTATATTATTTTTATATTCTATTCTATTATATTATTTTTATATTCTATTCTATTATTTCTCATTTGTACTATTTATTTTCTTATTAAAAAGGACTTGTCACCGGAAAACAACCTCGTGTCGACTGTTTTGGTACATAATCTTTACAACAGATGACCCAATCATTACTATGCTCCACACTGTATAAATTACTGTCTACATGCAAAATTACCCATTATATATTTCAAAGTACAGTATTTGAACAATGACTGAAAGTATATATTGGTTTTATCACATGATGTAGCGACCGTCCGTGTATTAAGCCTGAACATATCACCATGGTCTGAAGAAGTGTTACTGCTGTATATATGCACATATACATATAAAGCATGCACAGACCCATTTCGCCTTTGTAGCCATAAGTGCGTCTTGAAAGCAGTCTACACAACCACTACCCATGCGCAGTTATCGTTACAAAGAAGGATTTTCATTTCACTTTTCAGGCAATGTGATTAAAAAAAAAGGCATTCGGTGCACCTAAAGGGATACGAAGTGGGTCTTGTGCGTCCTGCAACGCTGAGTGAATGGGGAGGGCAGAAGAATTTTCTCTACAGGGATATGAAGTGGGTCTTGTGCGTCCTGCAACGCTAAGTGAATGGGGAAGGCAGAAGAATTGTTTAAGTCCAATGTGGGTCCCAGGGATGGGAGTGGATACAGGGATATGGAGTGGGCCTTGTGGATGGAAGTGTGACTCCGTATTCGCGGCTATGAGGTGGGCAAGGTGAGTAGCGGGGTATTCTGCAATTGTGCCTACAAGACAAAGAAGTCCAAAGACGATAAAAAAATCTGAATCATTAAACGGTACATTTTTTTTAGTTCGTTCAGTGTTCAATGATATGCATGTATCTCCAGCAACGTTGCCTTGACATTGCATGCATGCCTGCGAGAAGGACCTTCAAGCATGATCACAATCAGGCTATATTGAATCAATTGCAAACGGAATTAACAGAAATTTTCTCCATATTATATCGTGGCTCGTTGCCATGGGGGACATCATCATCTTTGGCCCAACTTACACTAATCCTCGGATATGGATGAGTCCAACCTACCACAGCTTTTGTACATCATCATGTTTCAGAGTGAAGGCTCAGTGCCATATACATGTAGACAGAAGACACGTATCACCATACGTGAACATTTCGAGAAAGGCCACGTGTACAGGCTGCGAGGGTGATCCTCGTCTCGTAACTCACTCGCAAGGAGTAGATTTGTCACTCGTTATTTTGGGCTGTACTGTAATCCCATTCTACATGCTCTTAGAGAATATGTAGGACAATCAAAGAAGTTGAATTACCCCCAAGCAAAAGCAGACAAATTGCTTGTTGAGTACACTGTCTTCTTCAGTAAAATCATATTTTGGATATGCATTTCTTCGTTTTACTGCCTTAAGCTGCAATTTGTAGGGTAAAGAAACACATTAAAGTATAGGCCGTGAATGCGAAAGGGCGGCCTTTTTAAAAAATGGCTACCACACCCAAAACACATAAAATCATGAATACTATTTTTTAAACTGCCATTTACTTCTTGGTGACTGTTTTACATGCAAAATGTTTGGGCCTACTGCCTCTTGGCAAGATTTGTACAGCTGAGAGACATATACAGCATAGGAGCAAATCCAAAATGGCGGCCATTTTGAAAAAAATGGCTACCACACCCAACATGGGTAAAATCGTGAGTATAATTTCTTTTCAACTTCAACATAATTCTCAGTGATCGTTTTGCATGCAAAATGTTCAATCCTACTGCTTCCAGGCGGGATTTGTATGTCTGAGCGACACATACAAAATAGGGGAAAATCCGAAATGCTGGCCATTTTGATAAATGGCTCGTCAGTTAATTTGACCTGTCACAAAATCAATCCCTTAACTACATACATTGTAACCCTATATAAAGGGAAAGGCATCATCATTATTATTAGTATCATCATGTTTCTATATTTACATGTACATACAGTACCAGGCACTGAGTTAACTCTGACCATAATTCAATAAATTGAACAAAAAGACACAAACTTACCCCAATGCCACTCTGGCTGATTGCAAAGGCAATAGACAGGTAGTTCACACCGATGAATGCTTTGAAAAGGTTGGCAAAATCCATTAAAATATTCAAACACCTGAGGAAAGCAAACATTTACATGAAAAAGTAAATTATTCCCACTATGACATGCACTATGGTGGAGGGATGGATTGGGGGTGGAAGTGTGTAAGGTGAGCACACATAATTATGTGGACTTCTTTTCATTTCTGGCGGTCCAGATCACTTACACATAATGGGTGATGGTAGGTCTTTTGCACGTGACAACCAGTGATACCATAGAAATTAAGACAAGAGTTGTGGCATGCCCTCTGGCCAATCCAGGACTTCCAAGGTGTGTTGCAGACCACATATTAACCGCTTTATGTATGTTTACTTGTACCAGCACATGCAGGATGATGTACACAAATGAGAACAAGTTAATGAATGCGGGACCACTGACATAAACCTGCCTCACCTGTGCCGTCTTGAAAATGAAAAATCTAAGCATTAAATGAAAAAACCAAGCAAGCAGGCCAAAAAAAAACCAAACAAATGGCAGTATTCCAGTATTCTATGGAAAAGCTTTCTTTTCAAACATTTTCTAGAGGACAGCAAACTTAGACAAGCTTAGAAGGCCAAGATATAAAGAGAGGACGATGCACTTTTTCAAGTACATGTAGGTTTTAATGAACCCCACAGATGGATGAGATTTCAGCCTATAGCTGGATAAAATTGTCATACCAAAGGGCGCATGAGAATGAGTGTGATGAGTATGTGTGTGTATAACATAGAGTACGACTACTTTAACACCCACAGCTGTTCTCAATATGATTCTGACGGTCTAGACCTTACAATACTGAAATAGTAGTTATACACGTACATGTACGTGTTGATTCATTTGCGTGTTGATTCATGAAGGTTATCTGAAAACGACGTGCAATCAGCAAGGCCATGTATGCAGACTCACATGCATGCTTTGTTCCCAAAAGAGCTGGCCTTTGTGGTTGCAGGCCGGTAAATTTCCTGTGCAGACAATTTGTAAGCTGTCAAATTCTCTGCTATTAAAGCATTTTGTGGCACACGGACTGGGTGGTTCGTTAAAAAGGTGGATGAAATCCACGGGCAGGACTGCCAGCATGTATTTCTGAAAGTATCGGACCAAACAGGGACCTCCAAATTGCTCTATTTTGCAATGGAGTGAAGGCATCAATTCTCACAAAGGCGATGGCCCATATGACTGATTTGAGGGGTGATTCTCTCTGGAGATGTCTTCAAAAGTCATTGGTTAAGCCACTGAAAATTGAAAGGAAAATGAAAGATGAGGAAGTGAACTTTATTTTGGTATGTGTCTTGAACACCTGTGATACTCCTCCCCCACATTAGTGTGGCTTGGGTCTCCTCGTGATACTTACCCCTGCCCGGCCTACATATGTAAATAGAGCCTGAAAGTAAAAGGTCACGCAGGGAGCTTCCAGAACTCTTGCAAGGTCTGCCTACGGGGATTTTACATTGGGCCGTCCTATCACGTTCAATAATTTTTGGAAAAATAATTCCTTACTGAAACACTCATGTTGGAATTCTGCCTTTGTCTTTGTCAAGTAATATTTTGTAAAAGTCACTGGAGATGGGTAAAAAACAAATTTTAGTAACAAACTTGCATGTCCAGCGATATTGTACCTAGGTCTCCTTGCTCATGCAGGTTTGTCTTCACTCGCTATCGGTATACACATACTAAGATTTCAAAGACGGCAAGAAAAATAATGCATCAATTTCATATTATTCTTCCAAAAGTACATTTCCTTATTCCCTATTGAAAGTAATTGGACAAAATGATTATTTTTTAAAAACTGTATCTGCAAGTGCACAGCAGCACACATTCTGAACGAGTATTTTAAGAATTATACTTAAAATATTGAACATTAAAACTCATCCAGAGGTTGAAGGAATTATCAGGGTTACAGAATGCTCAAGTGTCACTACTTTTTATAAAATATTAAGGGAAAAACTGCATTTGTGCTTTTGGGGCATTTTACTTTTGTGCATTATATAAAACCGGCAAAGTCCTCCCCCACATTAGTGTGGGTCAGGTATCCTAGGGATACTTACCTCTGCCCAGCCTACGTATGCAAATTTTCCATGTGCCTATTACAATTCACTGAAAAGACTTGATTATGCATACTGCCCTTAGACCCTCCACAATGCACTGCGATCCCACCGCCATGTTCGTCCTTCTTTTCAAAGCAGTGAAAACCACCGGAGCCAAAATGGGGAAGGACGGGCGGGAGCGGCTGGGCAGGGGTAAGTATCACTTCGAGGTCCAACCCACTCCATGTGGGGGAGGAGTCTCCTGCGTTTACATACCCTTGCCCAGCCTACATATGCAGAGTGGCACCGTACCCTTGAGGTGGGTCGGCGAGGGGAGTGTAGTGTAGTGTAGTGTAGTTACTAATAGAAACATAAGGCAGGCGCCATCAGAGCAAGCACTCACCAGAAGAAACCCCTAGGTTGAAGTATCCACCATTAGACTGTCTGGCTCGGAACAGTGCTGGACATTGTCCAGACTGCCGAGCGCAAGCTCAGTGTGCCATATGGGCTGTTTCACTCTGCAGAACATCTTTCAGGTAACACTCGATGAAGGAACAAGAAGATTTCCAGCAAGCCGCCTGGCTGATTTGAACTAGAGGAACTCCTCTGAAGTATGACCAGGATGCAGAGGGAGCCTGAATGTCATGTGGCCCTAATGTGAGATCGCTCATCTCATCATGTTGTGCAGGCCAGTCTCAGCTTTTGTAATAGTATATGCAATAGTATCCTTTGACGCTGGGTGAAAAGGGTTTCATCATGGTGACGAAGAGCTGGGAATTAGATTCTCGGCAATGCTCCATCCTCGCAAGATATCACTTGAGAGTCTGAACCGGACACCATCTCTAGTCAGAGCCATCTCCCGAAAGAGAGGCTATGTTGACAACGAATATGTCGGGAGACCACAAGGTAGGTGCCTGATTTTTTGCCAGGAACCCGATGGTTGGGACAAGACGAACCCTGTGTGACTCCCCGTAGCTGTGCCCATCGGCAATCGACAGGGCATGTAGCTCGCTACCTTGTCTTGATGTAACAACCATGAGGAGGAGCACCAGCCTAATGCTGAGATGCAGGTAGACACATCAGCCAGTGGTTCAAAAAAATGGGACTGGCAAGAACTTGAGGAAAGCTTCCAAGGTCCCAGGATAAGACAAGGCATTTGACGTGAGGATGCCCGACAAACATCCCTTGGAGACACAGGATAGCAGCATTGTCGCGAGAGTTGAGCAATTGCTGAAGTCTTAGTGGACAGCTGGCAAGGCCGACCAATATTTGCGGATGGCAGTAACCTGGAGGCCCGCGTGAAAACAGATACCTGAAAAAGCCTTCAAAAGAGCTCACAGGAGCTTCGGTTGGAGAAACATTGTGGTCTTCGCACCCTCTGGTGTAAATCTTGTGAGTGGACAGCCGTTGACCCTGGGCTGAACTAGACACAGCATCTGCAGAAGAACCCGTCGCCCTGAAAGGTCGTTGGATAACATCCAGCGCGTCAAGTGAAAACTCTCCGGTGGTGGGTGAAAGATCTCTGACTTGGGCTGACAGGGGATGTCCTCTCTGACGGAAGGACCAGCAGCCGTCGTACCAGGAGTCTCGTCCATCTTTGAAACCACAGTTGGACAGGACCCACAGGGTGAGGGATATTGGAGGGAAGATAAATGCCAGAGGGCCCACACCCATGGATAAAGGAATCTGAAGCAGATCATTGGAAGGTAGACATTGTGAGAGCAATGGACCCTGCTCCGAGAAAATCTGGCTGACAACATTCGGATAAAGAGTCCACTCTGTACAACACCCAAGAGAGAGTGACTGCTGTGCTCTTGCTGGTTTCCACTATGTGGACAGCTTGAAGGCGTCGCTCTGGACTTGAGAACAGCCTTAAAGTGCTGTCAGAAGTGACCAAGAGTGTTGAACACCGCTTGGAGTTCTAACACATTGATATGTTTATCTCGAGGCAGTGTCCTTGGCCCCAGAGGCACGGAGTGGAGATGGGCTCCCCCTCAGTACAGCGATGCATCCGTCGTCGCAGTCACATCAGGACTTGGAGGGACAAAAGTAAGGCCGGCCAACGTGCAAAAAGAGGCTGAGATTTTCACTAAGAAATGAATAATAAGCCTTATTACATTGAACTATGTTCAAAGTGGCCATTTGTATCCCTTAGTTTAGAGGACTAGGGCCATATCATAACATGCATGGGAATAAGGTCATTCTGCATGCATTGCAAAAATTGCAGGTAAGAAGATTGAAGTCGCTCCATGATTAAGAATCAAGATATTCTATTTCATTCAGCATCCAAGTATTTTAATACTCCTAATTATTCACTAGCACAAAGAGCATGAACGGGTAATATGGTGACATTGACAAAACACTTGCTGAGTACAGCATTTGTTTTGATTGCGCAGGGTGCAGTCAAAGGGCAACCATGACAAATCAAAAACATATTACTGTCAGTAGCCACACTTTTACCAGACCTCTTAATGTTCGCGGTATGCAAACTTTGGACACGCCCACTACAAAGGAACTTGTGTTCAGATAGTGTGGGGCGTGGCCAGGTCGAACAGAAGAATATATGGAGATGCCGGAATTGCAGACGAAAGGAACATGTGAAATTCGCGACAATGAGAAGTGAACTTGGATGCCCGAGGTGTGAATGCGGAATTAAATAGTATGATCACCAGTCAGAGATAAAGGGAGCCTGTTCGGAGATCGCAGTTGATTGTTACTGCACCTAAGTGCCCAATGACGTAGTTTCAGACGTCGGTTGTAGAACCTGAAGGAAGAACCTGAAGACCCGCAGCATCAGCAGAATGTCCAAAATGCAGGTCGTGGTCGGCTGAAGCTGGCTGAGCTGCCGGGAACTTTGACGGAAGAACCCTGGTGACGCTTGAACGAAATGTGTGCTTGCTCCGCAGGCGTAGAGTCTGACGACAGGAGCCCGGAAACGTGGATCATGTCACACTCAATAAGGCGGAGGTGACCCTCAGATCGGGTCAGGCCAGCAATAGAATCATTGCCAAC